GGAAGTGGCTTTAGCTTCTCAGTGCAGTGCTTTAACCCGCACACGCCACCAGGGAGGGCCAATAAATCTCTTTTTTAAAAAAGTATGATGATAAAAATATCACTATCAGTTAGTGCTAAATATTATCAAACATTCAGGTTGCATTCAAATTTCTACATTGTTCCATTGATTTTTTTTTACAGTTTAAACAAGAACCCAGGGAGGGAAGGAGTGTGGAGTGCAAAAATTAAAACAAATAAATAAGAATCCAAACAAGGTTGGTGCCCGTTCATATTTTATTGAGATATAATTCAAGTACGTGAAGAGATTTTGCAGTAAGAATTCATTGTCAGGGATGACCTGACAACAAAACATAGACAGAAACTTAAACTAATATTGTGGAAAGGTATGTGGGCCTGGGAAGTGAACAAAGCAAGTTATAAAACAGCCTTTACACTTTCATTCCCTTTTAGTTAATAAAAGGATACCTAACATGCTTACTTCCAGTGGGAAAATGAGCTCTTCTAATTCTCTCTTAAATTTTGGAATTCAATCTTCTCATCTTTCCGCAATGATCACACACTACTTACATAATAAAAAATGGCAAAGAATAAGAACGCACAAGTAGCACTTCTTGGTGGTGGTTTAGTTTGATGTGGATGTGTTTTACTTGGCACATTTTGCTTTCTTCTGGCCACGTGCTTTTGACATGATCTGTGAGAAGGCCTATGAGGCAAGCAGAGACAGGTGCCCAGAGAGGGCTTGTGCCTACAGCTGGTGATAGCACACAGCTCTACAAAGGCATATTGTTCACTGCCTGGGACATACGATCTCAAGAGGCCTCAACGTGCCTTCCTGCAGAGGTGGGGGCAGAAGCGGGGCTGGCATGAGCTTTCCTTTCACAAAAGAAGCCATCTCATCTCAGAGAACCCCACCTTTTCTTCATGCCACCCCTCAGGTTGGTTGTAAGGGTAGGTTGGTGTTCCCATGCCTGGTTTTGACTACCCCAAGACTACACATTGCATCCCTTTGGAGTTTCAACACCTCAGTGTAGGTGTGTGAGGGTGGTACCTGCTTGTGCTTGGCCTAGGGAGTGCCTAATCCTGCTTGGTGCAACACGGCACGCCACATTCTAGGGCTCGACCTGACTAGACCTGCTTTCTTCCACACACCCTTTTAGGGTAGGCTTGACTTCTGCTTGTGTTTGCTTTGTGAACTCTTCACTTTCTGTTCACGGTGCCACCTCCTCTAACCTGTCCATAGCCCCCTCTTAATGAGTGTCCCGGAGGCTCAGCTCACACTCTCTGAGGCTCTCCGAGGCTCTCAGTGAGGCCTGCCCCATCTGGCTGCTGCTCGTCTCTCCCTGCCTGCACTTTTCCACTTCTGCTTCCACAGTCCACGCTGACGGTGCGCCTGGCCTAAAACCAGAGCTGAGACTTGCACGATCATCTCAGTGAACCTGTGTCATCATCCCATTCGACAGATGAAGAAACTGAAGCTCTCAGGGGTTGAGTAACTCATCCAGGTCATCAGCTAGAAAGTGACAGCGAGAGTTCTAACCATTGCCGTCTGACTGCAAAGCCTGTGCTTTTCAAGAACTCTTCAGTACTGTTGGTTGCTTAATTTAAATTTTCTCGAGTGTCTTCACAGTGATGCCCACAGGGCCCTCATTACTACTGAAAAACCTCCTGCATGTCCTTCTGGCAGGTCTTCAGGGTTTGACTCCTACAAGTCGAGCCCACGTCGGGTTGCGATGGAGCTCTGTATGTTCCTTCCACCCCCGCTTTCTTGCCTCTCTCGCTCTTTCTACCCCATCCCTCTCTCTCCTCTCTCTGGCCCCTTTCCCTGGGAACCCCTAAGAAGACAGAGGATCTCCCTAGACCATCAGGAGTTTCTGGGGCTGCTGGTCTGATGGCTCTTGATAGAGTTGGGAAGAACACAGACAACAGCCACAAAAATACTCGCAGACAAGGAGCCACGAATCAGCCCATGGCCCCAGCAGAGAATCCAGATTGAAAACTAAAACCCCCACCATCCATAACCCCTCCGGACGCTTCCTTTTCACAGCCTCATTTCCCTCCCCTCCCCCACCAGAATCCTGGCTTTGGAGCTTTGGAACCCTTAGGCTAAGCCCCACCTCTCTCCCAGCATCCTAAAGTTTGGGGGCTGCATTCAAATGAGGAATTTCCAGGTAGGGGTGTGTTGGAGGGGCTTCAAAGGGCAGTCTGTCCTGGAAAATGGGGGAAAGGTGGCAGCCACGCCCGGCCTCTGAGGACTACTGGGAGTCCCTGTGCCCTTTCCCCCTCCCACCAGCCCCGGCAGCAGGGACCAAGCTTGCTTACTGTCACCTGACGCTGGGCAGCCGCCGATCCCATTGGTGGAGCCAGATTCGGTCTGGCTCTCTGTTCTTTCTCGCCTTCTCTGCCTCTCTCTCCTCCACGCTGCTTTGATTTCTTTCGCTCTTGCCCCTCTCCTTGCGCTCTGCTGGGAACATCGTCTCCCGGGGACAGCAGCGGTGTGCTGCAGAGCCAGCAGGAGCTGCCTGCGGGGTATGGAAGAAGCCTCCTTGGAGGCTGCCAGAGGAACGAGAGGACTGATAGAGCTCTGCCTGTGACCCAAGCGCCTGGCCGGCCAGCCGCTGCCCCCCTACCCGGGGAGCCTGTCCACACAGGGGTCTCTCCCCTCCCTCTCTTCCAGGTCTTCCTCTGAAGAGTTGGTGGAGCCAGGTGAGTGCCCTCTCTCCCCTGAGCACGCTGCTGTCAATCCAAGTGGGACTGGGGGTGGCCGGGGGCTAGAGGCTGGGGACACTAGGGTCCTGTCACTGCCTGCAGTGTCTGCCTGGACAGTCAGGGTGACGACCTTGTCCCCTTATCCAGGACCTTTGCAAAAGGATTCACAGCTGGGTCTGGTCTCTGGGGCATCACAGTCACCCCGTGACCATTCTGCTGCAGCCAACGATGCCAGCTGGGGTGCAGGGTGGGGGATGGCATGAGTGGCTTTTCTGAATGGGCACAGGCAAGGGGTATCCGTGTGTAAGGTGCGTGTGCACACTTGCACGGAGCTGGAGGTTTGCTTGCGTAGGTAGTTCTGATGGCATGGAGTCGTGCTCATGTGTGGGTTTTGACTGCTGTGTGGCATGTATTTCTTGTACACGTGAGTGACATATGAGGGGGAAATCACTCAACTAGTAGCCTGTGGGGAATACGTAGGTGGGGACACCGTGAAGTGGTATATTTACGGGGGGACTTATCCCTTGTCATGCGTGTGGGAGTCATGTGGATGGAGGGGCTGTATGCAACCGGGGGGCTTCTCTTTGGGAAGGTGCAACCCCCAAGGCAGAAGTGGGTGGGGGTGGGAAGTGTGGGCAGAAGCCACTGTGGGGGCTAACCTGCGTGGGCGCGCAAACCTGTTGGCATGTGAGGTATCAGGACTGGCAGCGCGTTGCCAGACACAAACACATTTTCAAAGTCTGTGTCTTGAAAAGATTCGAGTGAGAAAGCCAGAACGGGGACAGGAGATGTGTGTGAGAATGTACATGTGTGCCCAAGCAGGCATAAGGGCGCTTTCCAAGGCGGTGGCACGCAGGCGTGGTGCTGTGGCTTCCCCTTCCCCCAGAGTGGCTTGTGAGAGGAGTGTGTGCACATGTGTGTGCGGAGCCTGGGGACTGAACATGTATGGGTCTGTGTGGAGGTGAGAGCTTGGAGGGAAAACTGCGAGGTAGTCTCAGAAGGTGGGAGGTGGCAGAAGGTATCTGTGTGCGCGGGGGAGCGTGTGGGAGTGAGAATGTCTGAGGAGGCGGGGGCAACCCGTGGGCAGCGTAGGTGGGCATCCTTGGTGTCTGCCCGCACGCGAGCGTGTGTCCGGTGCCTGTGTGTGGGTGTTTACATGCCTGTCTTAGGTGGGTTCACACGAGAGTGTGGGCGTTTCTCAGGTGTTGCCTCAACCTGTCCCTCACACCCTTCTCGTCTCCAATCATATGGGTTTGGAGAACCAGGGTTCACGCCCACCCTTGGGCACCCTGCTTTGCTGCTCTCTCCATGTCACTCAGCCACTCTCCCGAGCCAGCGTGGGGGAGGATGCTCAGTGCCACCCCCCCGCCCCGGACTGTAGAGAAGAAAGCCTGCGTCTGTTCCCGGAGACCCTCACCTCCAAAGGTGGCCACCCCTACCTCTGGAAAAGAACTAGGTGCTCCCCCTCAGGGTGACGTAGATAGCATCCCTTACTTGTGGGGTGCAACCTCTCAGGTCCTCTCTGAGTGGGAGTGTGTGCTGCTGTGTGTGGGAGCATGTGAGCATATGCATATGAGGGGCACACGGGTGTCTCCCCGGGGAGCTCCTCATGGTATGGGGGGGCCTGGGGGGTGGTAACTCCCCACTGCTCCTCACATGTCCCGAGAATACCACAAATGGGTTTGTTGTCATACAGTCATTTCTGAACACCTAGTTCTGTTCTGTTTTATTTTGGGGTAGACCTGGTAGCACCCCATGCTCATTTACCACAGGATTCCCAGTGCATGAAGCCGCTGGCATTTGGCAGAACTTCACAACAGGCAGGCACATGCTGTGTCTTAGGGTGGAAAACCAAGAGGAAGCAAGGACTCAGGTGACAGAGTGGGACAGGTGAGGGCCGCTCCTCATGTGTTTCACCCTGTGCCTGCCGCCCAGGCAGCCCACGGGTTAACTGAGAGGTGCCAGGCTCCAGAGCAGGCTTAATTGACAGGAAAGTGTGGGTTGGATCTTCTGGAAACTATAAATAGAAGTACCTGCTTGGGAAGGCACAAGGTACCCTCACTCTTAATGCCGGGGCAAGGGGAGGGGAAGAAGCGGGATGAGGCTGGAAGGAGATGACTCTCCAGGAAACGAAGGTGTTCGGGTTTGAGGAAGAGCTGGGGAAGCAGGAAGCAAATGTCCAATGGACACTCTTGTTCTGTTCCAGGACTGCCCCCCACCTCTGACCACACACACACACATACACGGAGCTCAGGGGAACCAGAGTCAAGGCCAGGCTAGCTCTTCCCAGCTAAAGGCTAGGTGAGTGGTGTGGTGCGTCCTCTCACTCCTGAAGAGCATCAGGGGTAGAAGCAAAGGAGTGAGGTGGGTGAGGGAGGATGCAGCTGTTTTATAAGGGAAGGATGGAGGGAGGCAGCAGAAACAACACGTCCACCTGTACATACACACAGGCACACACGCGCACACGCACACACATGGACACAATCTTAGCTTAACGATGAAGAGCTCAGACTCTGGAGTCAGACGGATCTGGGTTTCTGGGTTTAAAGCAATTTCTAGCCTGGTGACCTTTGACATCTTAGTGCCCTTAACCTCAACTACCTCATCTGGAAAATGGGGATGATACTGATACCTGCCTGCTGTATGAGATGATGTCTGTGAAACTGTTAGCATGTCATTGACCCGCGACAGATGTCAAAAGTCAAAATAATTATAAAAGAACCGAGCCATGGAGGATCTGCTGGAAGAGACTGTGCTAGGGGAGGAGTTGCAGGAGGAAGAAGAGCTGTCCACGCTGCCTGGGCCATCGGTCCGCACGCATGTCTGTGGCACCTCTTCTCATCCCAGCACTGTGGCGACCCTAGCTGAGCACCCCAGTACCACCCCCCGGAGAGGAGCGAGGGGCGAGCCCAAAAGCCCCCCTAGCCTAGGCTTCTGGGTACCACCACCCTCCACCTGCCTCAACCTCCACCCAGCCCCTCAGTGGGTGCTTCCTGCCTCTCCCACGCTTTGTACCATTCTCTCCACCCCCACCCCTTTCTCTTTTTACGCCTGCTGGCTGAGGGCCCCCCTCCTCGGCTCCATCTGCTGCAAATCTGTCCCACCGGCGTTTGCAACATTCCCACTGGCTCTGCCACCTGTCAGGTGCCGTCTGCTCCGCAGACCCCTCCAAGAGAGCCAAGAGTCCCCCAGCGGACACCACCCCTCCTTTGGTCCCACTCTCCTGTCTTCCCGGTGTAATCAGACTTGAGAGGCAGGGCCAAGCAGGGGGTCTTCCAGGTTCCACCTTTCGAGGAAGATTGGGAGTAGGACGGTTCAGAAAGCTCCATGGTGGGGAGGGAGGTGCCCATTCTTCCCTCCCCCCGTCCCCCACAGGAGCCAAACCAGAGGCGAGCATGGAGCTGCTGTCCACACCCCACAGCATCGAAGTCAACAACATAACCTGTGACTCCTTTCGCATCTCTTGGACCATGGAGAACACTGACCTGGAGAGGGTCACCCATTACTTCATTGACCTCAACAAGAAGGAGAATAAGAACTCCAACAAATTCAAGCACAGGGTGAGTCGGGGGTACTCGTACCCTTCAAGGAGGCAGAATAGTGGATAACACCCTGTGATAGCTGAGTCAGAGAGACCTGGTTCAAGTCCAGACTCTTCTTGCTGTGTTATCCTGGGAAAGCTTTTAGCCTCTCCGAGTCTAAGTCCCTTTGCTGGAGAAAAGGGATGACGATACTGTTGGCCTTCAGAGGCTTCGGCGAGGTATTGCGTGATACTCGACTCAGGGCACACAGTGGACACTATCCTGGGCATCACAACTGGGCCTTCAGATGGGGCAGGAACATCCACACTGGTGGGCCACGCGGACATCACACCAGGGATGGCGTCAGCATTCAACGAAGCCCTTGACTCAGGAGCACCCCTTGATGGGATGGATGGCAAGGGCTGTGGGCAGCAAGGGGCCTTTTGCTTGGTCCTCACCAAAACGACTCCCCCATCCCTCAGGCCTTTGTGGTCTCCTCTGCTCCTGGCAGGGTGTCCTTCCTGGGTTAGAGCTGGTGTGGCGTGGGTGGGAGGAAGGTTCCCCTCTTCTCCAGCTGGCAGAGGAAGGGGGGAGAGTGAGGTGGGAAAGAGCCCGTTCCCACGACGACTGCTTCGTGTGGGTTACTCACCCTCTCTCTCTTTGGAACTGGCTCTCCCGATCTGGGTGTCTTTTGGCAGGCCAGTTGCCACGGTGACGTGAATGTTCAACACCACCCCCTTCACCCTCCCCCCAAAGAATAAGGCATATTTTCCCTTCCTCCCTGGCTTCTCAGCATTTGCTGTTGCCGTGGAGACAGCACAGCCGTGTGCAGAGCTCTCGAAGTCTCCCTCAAAAACGAAGGTCTCGCTGTCCTCAACTTTGCAGGCCTCACCCCATGGGCCTTTCTGCTCAGTTTGCAGGAGAACAGGCATGGGGGGTTCAGGAGGGCTGGCGCGGTGGACTGTCTGCATGGCCTTCTCAGTGACCCCTGCTTGCTCCGCAGGAAGGTGGTGCCAAGGTTTGGAGCCACTGAATCTGTTACAGGGCACCCAGTGTGAACTGGGCTGCCTGTCTGTGGGTCCTAAAAATATAATTGTTCTGCAGACACACACAAAAGGGTCAACAATGGGTTTATTTACAAAAAGGGGAAAGGAAAAGGAACAACCCAGGGGATGAGAGAGAAATACAAGGTAACTGGCATATCTTCCCAGCTTGGCTGACTTTGAACTCTAGTAAACAAACTAACCAGTCACATGGTCCCAAGACCCATTGCCCCAGAGAGAGAGAGCCATTGCCATTGCCTCTCCCTACCCCAGAGCCGTTGAAAATTGCTTCCTATTTATCCCCCAAAGCCCCAGAGTGCCTGCTTAGCTCCGCCCTTGGGTCCTCGCAGTTCTCACCCTGGTCCTGCTGGGAGTTGTAGTTTGCAATCACTGGAGTAGGGGGCAGAGTCCAGAAAGCTGGAGTAGGGGGTGGAGTTCACAAGACTCTGCAGAGTTCCTTTAGGACATCCTGCCCCTTACCAAATCATCCCTCGTCCCAGGAGGACAAGGGGCCACTTGGGTGGGGGGAGGTCTGGGACAATACCAAGATGGGGTGTGATTCCCAGTTTCACTCCTGGCTCTCTGTCTGCCCCCCTTCCCAGGATGTTCCCACCAAACTGGTGGCCAAGGCTGTGCCACTGCCCATGACAGTGAGAGGCCACTGGTTCCTGAGCCCCCGCACAGAATACAGTGTGGCGGTGCAGACGGCTGTGAAGCAGAGCGATGGGGAGTACCTGGTGTCTGGCTGGAGCGAGACGGTGGAGTTCTGCACGGGGGGTGAGGCCCTGCCCTCTTTCTTTGGCATATCTGGTTTAGTTATGGTCAGGAGGGACTTCACCCTCACCCAGCCACCACTTAGGACCACCCACTGTCCACTGGACGCACCCGAGGCTGTGGGGAGATACATGCGCATGAGACCCCTCCCTAGGGGACCCTAAGCCCGGTGTACCATGCAGGAGGCAGACTCGACACTACTCCTCATGGTAACAATCCCCCACCCCTCATGAAGGCACGGGGTCCTTTTCAGGTTTGGGACAAGCATGTATATATATATTTTGAATTGTGGCAAAATACATATAACATTTATCCTCTTCATCATTTCGAAATATATAGTTCAGCAGTATTAATTATACTCACATTCTATGCAAGCAATCGCAGAAGATTTTTTGTTTGTTTTTTAACTGAGTTTACACTCTTTTACAACACAGCTGTGCAAGTTTCAGGTGCACGGCTTCATCTCTTGCCATCGTATATACTACTTCACACCCAGCCCCAAAGATCTGGTTTCCATGCACCAGTCACCTGCTTTTACTCATCCCCCTACCCTGCCTCTCATTACCCCAGAGCTCTGGTCTTCAGAACTTTTCAATTTTCCCACATCTGGGCCTTCTCTGGTGGTGCAGTGGGTTAGGACGCAGCACTCAGTGTGAGTTCGACCCCCAGCCCCGGAGGTGACCCACATGGCGCAGCAGACCTCTCCTGACCTGCCCGCTGCTCCCCTCAGCAGTGTACTTCGTTGATCTGCCTGTTCTGCTCCCCACTCTGTCTCTGATGAAGCCTCTCACCGCCCCTGCACCTCTGACATGTACACCAGTTCTGCATGCATAGATAAATCAGTTTTTTAAAAAAATTTTCCCACATCTAACTGTAGAGCCATTAAACAGAAACTTCCTGTTTCCTTCACTCCAGGCCCTGGCAACCACCATTCCAATTTCTTTCTGTCGATGGCACTACTCGGGTCCCTTATGTGGCGGGCTTCATATAGTGCCTGTCCAGTGCCTGGCTTATTTCACTCAGCCTGCCACCCTCAAGGCCCATCCATGTCACAGCATGTGCCACAATTGCCTTCCTTTTTACAGCTGAATAACACCCTTTTGTGTGGCATTACTTGTGTGGTAAACATCTGGCTTATCCATCATCTGTCAATGAGCTCTTGGTGGGGCAATCACATTTTGTTTGTCTTGAGCCTCCACTGAGCCTGGGAAAATGATCCCTATTCAATGGCCCTGCAAGCTCTCTTAGTAGAACTTAGCTTGTAAATTCCAGTGTGAACAAACACCAGGCTTGTTTGTACTTGGTCTCTGATGACCCAGGATCTGCCCCACAATTTTCCATTCTTTTGGTGTCCACAGTGAGAACTGCTCCAGATCGCCCTCTGTCACTAGGAAGAGGCAAGAACATTCTTAGCCGCCGGCCTGTCGGCCGCTGGCTGGAGCTTCTGCCAAGACCTGTGTCCCGAATCTCCTTGAGCTTCTGTCTTTTGAGCGATGCTTTCTCTTAGCTCAGCTGCAAAACCCCACTCTTAGGGGATGCTCTGGCTCCTTGTGGCCGAAAGCCTCTTGTTTTACCCGGAGAAGTTTCATTTCAACTGGGGAACTAGGGATGGCTGCTGTGCAGTTCACCTCTTGCCAAACCATGCACCCTGGCCAGGGGTTCATCAGCAAAGAGGAAAGGGCACCTTTTAAAAATTTGTACAAAGGCTCTGTCTAAGCTACCAGCAGTCCTGCCTGGCCCCAGGCCCAACGCCTGGCCTTGGCCCATGAGCAGGGGTCCAGTTTTGTTCCCCTATTTCCACCTTCCCGCCATCTTCTGGGTTGCTGAGGCAGGCCCTAGTCTGCCTAGGCTTTCATCTCTGCGAGGACCAAACTAGAGCTTTGAAAACCCGTATGTAATTCCAAGTGGCACCCGCATCTAATTCCAAGTGGGCAGCCTCGTACCTGCTACATCTGAGGGGCTCTTCCCCAACACACCGAAAAATTTCCCGTCTCAAACTTTTTTCGGCTTACTAATTCCCTTTCCACAGGGGTTACAGTCCCTGGGCCCCCTGACATAACTATAACTGGACAGTCCGTCTCCCACCTCTTCTGACCCAGATAGCCCTGGACCTCTACCAAGGAGATGCACAGGACAGACAGCACCCCACTGGCACATCCCATCTGGCTTCCCTGAGTTCTGAGGCTAGAGATAGGCCAGCCGGGGAGGGTGGTGAGCCCCCATGGGCCCTCGGCTCACCCAGGACTCTTGCAGATTATGCCAAGGAGCACCTGGCCCAGCTGCAGGAGAAGGCAGAACAGATCGCAGGCCGCATGCTCCGCTTCTCTGTCTTCTACCGCAACCATCACAAGGAGTATTTCCAGCACGCCAGGTAGAGGGGCCCAGAGGGGCAGGGCTCACTCCCTTCCAGCCCTGTCCTCTATGCCCGGCTGTCTGATGTCATCCCACACTGTTGGTGGCTGGTCCCTCCTCTGGAGTCCCCACTCCCTCATATCAGAGGCTGGCTCTGGGGGGTGACAGCTTGGGATTGGGGAGGATGCCCAGGGGAGGAGATGGCTCTAGGGGTGGGGTTCCCTGGGGAAACATGCTAACAGGCCTGGGTGAACTGGCTCCAGGGTTTGATCCTCCTCTGTGACAGCTTTCACTGGATTCTATTGCCAAAAGTCAGTGCCTCTCAGTTCAGACGCTGGGTCCCAAGGAGAGGTGGTGAGCAGAGCACAGAGTAAAAGGTTTTCCAACCGCGATCTCTAGGGAGGTGTCTCAAGGAGCCCCTTAGGGTGGTGCTGAGGGGGTGTTGAGGAAATCAGAGGAAGAGGTTTGGTGGGCCCCATCCAACAGAACAGCCTCAGTTTTGTCTGCTTTTCACCTGTCAATGTATCATTGTCTTGGGAAAAAACAGGGCTCTGCAGTACCAAAATGCTTGATAATTAAGGATCTGACTCCAATACCCTCATTATAGAGAGGGGGAACCGACAGAGGACACTTAGGAGAGCCAGGACCAGGCCCTGCCCACACTCACTCCGACCTGCCACCACGGCTCCAAGTCCTCAGCCTTTTCGGATTGGGCTAAGGCCAGCCACCACGATTTCTGTCTGTCACTGCATTCAGGCTGATTTCACCCCATCCTGGGTAGCAGTGGCCTGGCAGGGCGATCTTACGTGTTTGTACTAGTGGTTTGTAGTGACCCAGTTGGGGATCCTCTTATCAGCAAGGAATGTTTGTGCTATAAAGATGAGTAAAGAAAGGCCCAGCTCCCCTCTTGAAAACCTGTCTAGCTTATAGTACTGACAGATTGAACATAAGTATGTGTAATTGTGGAGTAAAATTCAATACCCACACATGTATTAAGCAGTGAAAAATTTGCTGAATGCAAGTGTCTGATGTTCTAGGAAGGTTTGAAGGAGGAGGGGGCACCTATGCTGGGCTTTGAAGGATGACTAGGAGTTCGTTGGGCCAGGCAGAGAAAGACAGGAGAGGCAGCCTGGCAGAGGGAAGAGCACTACAAAGGCTCAGAGGCAGGACTAATTAGGGGCTGGGATTTATATGTGGCAGGGGGCTGGTACCCGTGGGCGTGGGCCTGGTAGGAGCCGGGGCCAGAAAGACCAGCTTGTGTTGGTCTTGTTTTTCATGCAAGCCCATCAGAGAGTTTTAAGCTGGGGAAGTGGCAAATTCAGAGCTCTCCCATCTCCCTCCTCTCATTCTGGAACATTCTATTTGTGACTGGTGGAGGCGGCAGCTGGTGGGAGAGCTGGGAGCTAGTCTCAATCTCTTCTCGACCACACACACACACACACACACACACACACACACACACACGCATGCACTCACATACCAGCCAAGCCTCAGCCCAGCTAACCAGCAGCATTTCCTCTTTCCTTTGGCATTTCCCCCCGGGTGGGCAGGACCCACTGCGGGAACATGCTGCAGCCCTACCTGAAGGACAACAGCGGCAGCCACGGCTCCCCGACCAGTGGCATGCTCCACGGAGTCTTCTTCAGCTGCAACACGGAATTCAACACGGGCCAGCCCCCACAAGACTCCCCCTATGGCCGCTGGCGCTTCCAGATCCCCGCCCAGCGCCTCTTCAACCCCAGCACCAACCTCTACTTTGCGGACTTCTACTGCATGTACACGGCCTACCACTATGCCATCCTGGTGCTGGCACCTAAGGGCTCCCTGGGCGACCGCTTCTGCCGTGACCGCCTGCCCCTCCTGGACATTGCCTGCAACAAGTTCCTGACCTGCAGCGTGGAAGATGGGGAGCTGGTGTTCCGCCACGCCCAGGACCTCATCCTGGAGATCATCTACACTGAGCCGGTCGACCTGTCCCTGGGCACACTGGGGGAAATCAGTGGGCACCAGCTCATGAGCCTGTCCACAGCCGACGCCAAGAAGGACCCCAGCTGCAAGACCTGCAACATCAGCGTGGGGCGCTAGGGACTCCCGGGAGCTGGGGGTCCAGGGAGAGATGACAGGAGGTGGCTATGGTGGCATAGGTTCAGGGAGCTGGTTTTCTCTCCCCTGCCCCCCTGTCCCCTCCGAGCCACTGGCCTCCCTGCTCCCCACCCCTTTACATTAGAGGCAAAAGAGGGTGGCCCTCTTGGTAGGCTCAGCTCACCCAGGCTTGGCGGACCCGGAAAGGCTTCTTAGCCACAATAGGTTGCTGGGTGGGCTGGATTTCTGGGGGCCCCCCCTTTCCTTTGGGCTCCCATCCTGCTGTTTCTTGCCTCGCCCCTGGCCTCCATCTCATGGAGACCTGCTGCCTTGGGCTCTCCCGGGGAACTCACATGTAGCTTGCCTGCTTCTGGAGGAGATGCAGCGAGCTGTGGGCACCCTCCCTCAGCCCCACCCACCCGCAGAGCGCCCTACCCTTTGACTTAGGGCTCCCTGCCCCCAACCTGGCCCATTCCCTCTATAAATAATCCCCCCCCTCTCCCGCACCTCTGTGACCCTGGGCTGCCCCCTGCCCACAGCACCCTCTTCCTGCATGGGGAGAGCTGTCCCCCTTCCCTGCCTGCCCTCCAGAAAGGGACTCTTTTTTCTCACGGCTTTGGGGACTCTGAGCTTTTAGAATTTCCCCTTTTTCTATCTGGAGATGATACATACCCCAGTGTACCTTCTCCTTTGCTCAGAGTCCTGGAGTCTGAAATGGTAGCCACTGGGGTCGAGGAGGGGGGAAGAGACCCCTGAGACCCTGAGGGACCCCTTCCTCAGTGGAAGTGGGCTGCCTTACGCCCTGAGGGGCCTCGGATGGAGCTGGAAAGGGCGGCTTTCCTGAAGAGCCCTGGCGCCCGCCCGGCTGCAAGCTTTACTCTGCTCTCTGCCACGGCGCCCGCTGTACTGTGCCTGTGTATGATCTGGACTGTGGCTTCCCTCCCACTCCGAGCCTGTTGACAGAACCCCTTCCCCGGGGAGTTCTTGGGGAAGTCTTCCTGGGGCCTGCTGGCATTTTCACCTATTTCCTACTTTGTGTGGTCACAAAGGTGATGCGGGCGGACCCCTGGGACAAGCAGACCAGGTGGGGAGACCAGAAGAGGTGCCTGATTGAGGGAGTTAGCTGCTGGGGGATGATGGGGGTGTTAGCACATGGAGGAAAGCAGTTTCCACAGTGACAGCCAGATTTCTGTGATAGAGGACAGAAGGGACCAGCTGGCCAACAAGGCCATACCTCGGCGAGGGGGCAGGTGGACAGCTGGTGGCCTTTTCTGTAGCCAGGGGGAGCAGTGTGGCAAGCTGTCCCCGTAGCATGGGTCAGAAGGTCTGGAGACCCTGGAGGGTGCACAGAGAAGGAAAGGACAAGGGCCCGGGTCTTCCCCCTCTGCTAACAGCGTGGTTGTGGGGGTGGCCCGCTGCCCTCCCCGGCCCCCGTGTCTGCCCTGGGCTGGGGCACGCCCCGCCTGTGCTGTGCTTGTGATGCGCTCAATAAACCGCCATGGCCTGAGCCCTGCCTCTCTTTGGGCTCCGGGAGGGGTGGGTAAGTGGTACAATCACAGAGAGGCATGAGGGAGGATGTCCCAGGACAGGCCACCTGGTGTCATCTCTCAGGGTACCCCGAATCTTACTGTAGCAGGCAGGACTCCAAAAACAGAGCCACATCCCCAGCTCAGAAGGGATTTTGGAGTTATTTGGTGCAACCTTCCATTTTACAGATGGGGAAACTGAGGCCTCTTAGGGGAGAATCTGTAGTAACCAAGGCCTCCAGGACCCCTCACCCCCCTCTGGAGTCCTTCCCATGTCAGCAGCCTGCCGTTACCTCAGATCCAAATGTTGCTCCCCCAGAGCCTAGTGTCCCTCCTCCCCAGCAGGGCTTCTCTTTGCAGAGCTGAGTCACTTCTGCGGCTATTATTACGGACTTATTAAAATGATCCTCTGCCGGAGTGGAAAAGCTCCAGAAAAATCAGAGTCACCTCACTGACCTTGCCTGGCTCGTGGCCAAATGTGTCATCTACAACTTGAGGCACAGCCTCTTTGGGCTAGGATGGAAAACTGAAGAAGGGCAAGGAAACCCTCCTGAAGGCCTACTATGTGCCACCAGGCTGGGTGTTTCACATGCATCTGTTCTTTCAGTGCCCTGGGCCACATTATTTATTCCCATGTATTAGAAGGAGAAACTGAGGCGCAAGGAAGTTAAAGTCTTGTAGCCAGGAGGTGACAGTGCCCCCTTTGATTCAGTAGCTGGAATCTTCCCATCTCCTTGTCCTGTCTCCCCATGTCTCTGCTAGGGGCCACCTGGGACCGTAAGACCAAAGCATGGGCCTTCTCAGACACCTTGCCCTCCTCAGGGTCGCCTCTGAGCCTGGCTGCGCCTTCTTCCAGAACAACACCAGGGGGCGCTGTGGAGTCGCAGATGCGCAGGAAGTTTAAAGGCGTAGTGAGCAGTGTGCACAGTTTAGAATTCAAAGCTAAGACACCTCCAGGATCCTTCCACTTGCCTCTGGGTAGGAGCCCCCTGCACCAGCTGAGGAGATTCCAGTCTCCCAGAGAGGCGGCCTGCGGCCTTTCTTTTGTGAACCCTTTAGGGTTTCTTAGGAGAGTGTTCTCAGGGTTCTTCTGGTGTGACAGGAATGAAGTGGGGTGGGGATGGGGCTACATGCAGATCTCCTCCACAGTCTCGTCTCATTCCCTTCCCCAGAAGATGGCCAATCAGACAACGCTGGGCTAGGGCATTTGCTGGAGTCTGCCCCGGGGGCCCTCTGGCCTGTGTGTCTCTGATCTGACCCAGTAGAAGGAGAGAGGTTTATATCCACACACACATGCACACACTTGCACGTGTGTGCTCTTTGGGTGGATTTAGAGCACAGCCTTCATGCATCGTGAGGGACAATCTTGGCTTGTAGTTGTCATGTCCAGCCGAGGGACCCTGAGTCAGCCCTGCTCCAGTGCAAGCAGGGAGGGGAAATGAGGTAGCGGCCGCCAAAGGGCGTTACAGGTGGGGTGTTCTGCTGTGCAGGCACAAACAGACACACCCAACACATACACATGGTCACACACACTCACCATACACACTCCCTCACTCCCTCTCCCCTCCCGCCTTTCCCCACAGAGGAACACCCACCCTTCCCTGCCCACTCCTGGGTCAGCATTTTGTTTTAAAAAATTCTGAATGGATGACAGGTCCCCAAATAGTAGGAGGGCAGGTGCCAGCTCTAGGGGCCCCCCCCCCACCATTTTGTCTGTGCCTCTTATGTTGGTATCTCTTCCTTATGTTTGGAGAAGAATGATTGGGCTCTTAAGGTAAGGGGTGAGGAGGGACCATGCCCTGAGATGGAGGGAGGCCTTCAGGAAGCTGAGCTGGGGAGATTGGCCATAAAACAGCTTGGCCACAGCATCTGGAGGAGATTGGAACCAGATGTTCCTGGGATGGGGGAGGGGAGAGTGGGGGTTGGGAGGGGGCTGAAGCAGCAGCAGACTGGTCAACAGGAGGCAGGATTTGGGGCCTCTTGGCTCTCTGGGGAAAACATCTGGGTTGCCCTCTCCCCAACTCCCTGAGTTAGGCATCACTATTTTTGCAAACTGGAGCAGCAAGCTTTTCCCAGATCCTAGAATCGGTCTTGTGTGTAGTGACAGTCAAACACAGGGTGTGACTTGGGAGGTGTCCAGAAAAGCTACCAACCAGCCAGAGACATGTCTCCTGCTGCCCGCAGCCCTGCCCTGCTGTGGGTTAAGCATTAAGCTCCTAACGTAGGACTGCAAATGAGTGTACCAGAAGTCTCCTCTTGGCAAAGAGCAGTGCAGGGGACCTGTGAGACCGAGGAGAGGGAAAATGGCCATTTATTTGCCAGAGCCTCTGATTTGCCCAGCCCTGTGGTGGGCGTACCTCAAAGGTTATCCATTCCTTCCTTGGAACCTGTGAGATGTCACCATCCCCGTGTCCAGATGAGGAAACTGAGGTTCAGAGCGGCCAAATGACTCACTGAGGGGCACACAGCCACCAAGGAGTAGAGCTTGTGTTCAGTACTGATCCCTTGTTTTCAAACCTATGACCTTTTCGTGACTGAGACACATGTGGAATTGGGAGCGAGGGGGGAGAAGGAAAGAGAATTAAAAGGGGGGTAAGAAGCTGTGCAGAGGCCCCGACTTCGGGAACAGAGGCTGGAGAGTGGTAGCTGGCCAACAGTCATGCTGAGCTTGGTGGGGTCAGGTGTCCTGACAAGGGAGGAGTCCCCTGCTCGGGGCCTGGGATTACCTCACCCTGCTTCTGGAGGTAGGAGTGGAGGGCAGAGTTCAGGACAGGTCCACCCCTGCTCCCCAGTGTGGGCTGCGCACTCAGGCCAGGAGCACTCGGGAATTTGGAGACAGCTGGAGGAGAAGGGGTGCCTTCCTGATGGGAATCACCTGAGCTGATGGCGCTGTACTGGAGGCAGTCAGTCCTGCACCCTGAAGAAGCCAGAAGGTAAGGTGGGCTATGCTGGGAAATTCTGGGTTACAGAGCAGTGGCCCGCAGCCAGCTATGGGCAGCCCCACCACCCTGCGGAGGCAGACACCCCCTGCCTCCACAGCCACGTCCTCCTTCCCCCGCAGCGGCCACCTTGAGAGCGCTGGCCTACCTGCTGCCGGACAGCAAGCTCCTGGGGTGGAAATCTGGACATCTAGGCAGGCCGGCGGCCCTGCTTCCTGGACGACCATGGCGGCGGCTTTGGAATGCCGCGTGGACCTGCTTGGTGATCTTCAGCCCCTACATCTGCTCCACCTGTTCGGAGCTCGCACCTGGCTCTGGATTAGCCCGACAGTCTCCTGTGCTGCTTTGGGCTGGGTGCCTTTCATTACCTGGCTCCCCCCAGACCTGAGGTGCTACAGTTCCCCAGCTGCCAAAGATAGGCCCAGGGGAGACTGCGAGCACAGGACCTGCACCAGAGGAGGCAGTTTGTGGAGGTGACAGACTGGCTCTCTGGGTCAATGCTGAGTTGCCTCTGGCTGTGGTCTTGCTGGGCAGAGAGAGCCTGCTGGGGGTGGAGGGCTTGAGTCTGCAGTGGATGAGGCTATGTTCCTGACTCCTGTTGAGAGCGTGGCTGGGAGCCAGTAGTGTGGGCCTCCGAGCTTCAGAGGAGCCTGGAGGGCTGGTGAGGAGAACTGTGGTCACTGGCCACAAATTTCTCTTCTAGAGTAGTGGCCCAAGTTGGTTTGCAAAGTGTCTGGGTGAGAGGTCATGGTGGCGCCAATACTTTGGGGGCCTTTCTGTTCTGTTCAGACAGCTGTGGCTGTCTGAACACCCTTGTTAGAGCAGGTGGAGGCGGGTCGGGGGGGCATGACTTCATGGGCCCCAAAAGCGATGCCCCCTCCAGGTAATGAATCTGGGCCTATTACTATTGTCTCCGTAAGGGCCAAGATGGGGTCCAGCAGGTCACCCTGCTCCCCAGAGATGGATCCCTGCACAAAGCCCAGCCACGTCTGGCACATCTGCCCAGTAACAGGCTGGTAAAAGACTTCTAGGCTCACTCAAGTCTCTCCAAGAGCCCCCAGGCTTCGAGTGGTCTGCCCTGCTCTCTGGAATCTGGGAGCAGCTAGCCAGGCTAGAGACTGGGGTCTTCTTTCAGCTTTCTTTCCATGTGACCCCTCTTCCAGGGATGGTGTCGAGCAGGTACAGCATCTGACACACCGCCCGCACAACACTAACAGCACTGGAGTGTCCTGAACTCCTGGTGACAGAATCACTTTTACACCAAGAAGTTAAGAAAAACACCAAAATCCACACGCAGGGTGTGCTGTGGCCAACTTCGAGTTGGTGTTGTGAGACCTGAGATTCTTATGAGGCGTCTAAAATAAAAACACGGGTCAGCGGGCCTAGGGTGGCTCCATGCATGCCAACCGCCTGGGATAGGGTCGAGCCGGCTTTTCGTATTGAAGAGCAGAAAATTGTCGGAAACTGCTGAAGGCATAAGCCGCGTCAGAAAGTGGATTAAAAAAAGAAAAAACAAAAACATGAAGCTTTTTTGAATAATAAAAAAAAAATCAAAAGGTAAAAATAGATAAGTAAATAGAAATAAAGAGAAGGGGGAGCGCTCCTTTTGCAGGGAGAGCAGGGATGTGGTCTCTCTCTTCCTGGCCTTCGTGCCATCTGGGAGAAGGTGGATGTGGCGGGAGGGGGGGCTGGACAAGACACTCTGGGCCGCTGTGGGAGAGGGACCAGAGCTGGAAGTTTGCTCAGCAGCTACTGAACTTCTAGCTGTGGCCACCAAAGGAGAAAGACCAGCAGGTCTGTCTGCTCTAGTCAGAGCTGGTTTTCTGGCTCCTGGTGGGCTCCCTAGCTGGACCTACTAGTAGCCCACCTGCAGACAGAAAACCCCAGTGGGTACAGATGGACACACACTATCCCTTTTAACACCCCTCCTCTCTCCTCCCAAACAGCCTCTTCACAGAATGTTCTACCCTCCTGTTGTGGGGGAGGGCTGATGCATCTGTGTTTGTGTGCCTGAGTGTGAATTCACACCCTCGGGCGTCCGTCCTGGAATGGAGGGAAGGAAGGGCAGCCAGCGAGGCCAGGTGTCCTGGCGGCAGGCCGGCCCCAGACACGGCAAGCCTGCACATCTGGAAGGAGCCGTTCCCCTCTCCCCCCAGGTCCCAGACAGCATCTGGCACAGGATATTGGCTGTAACACTTTCGGTTTATTGGCTGGGGTGACCTGGTGCGGCTGAGCAGCCACCGGGCCTGAGAGAAGCCCTGTCTTGTTTCCCCACCCACCCCCCATCTCCCCATGTGGCTCCTATGGGACGTGTATGAAAGTTCATGCCCCTGGAAACTGGGGGAAGTGAAGGCTTAAAATAAAACCAAATCGAAGTTGGAGAAGGGGTGGGAAACGTACATTACAATGCAGATATGCCACTGGCTATACACAATACAGCGTGTAGAGACGGGTAGGGAAGCTGGGTGGGTCCTGCTGACCGACCCTCTTCCCCACTGGGCCAGGCCCCCACAGAGGAGTGGCCACTTCAAGTGTCTCAGTGAAAGCTCCGGTTCCCTGGCCCTGGTGCCCCCACTCTGGTGGGGGCCGGGAGGAAGGATCGCGGGGAGGTGGCTCGTGGAGTCCAGACCCCCTGCCTCCTGAGGACAGCCTCGCCTGGGCCACGGCCCACAGGTCCCGGTGCCGGGGGACAGGAACGGGGTGCCGCCTCCTGCCTGCCCCCCACTGTCCGGCCCACTGACCGAGGGCACAGGCCTCCATCCCCACCCCGTGCGGGGCAGTGGTCACTTCCTGCTATGCAGCGTGTCCTGGAACTTGGTGCTGGTGTACCGCAGGTGGAAGCCTTTTTTGGTGATGGTGTCATCCGAGTGGAATTTCACCAGGACAGAGTCTCCTGCTGAGTACACCTCCTCGGGAGGCTGACGGAGGAGAGAGATGGACGTGAGGCTGAGGGACAAGGACACACTTTTCTCTCCCCCAGGCCCCCAACCTTCACCACACCCCTCCAGTCCCTTGAAGCAGGAGGACGCCCCTCTAGAGGGAGTCTTGGGAGAAGCAGGGCGCAGCAGAAGGAGGAGTTTGTGTCACGTTCATAGGCAGACTTCCGTTCCAGAGCTGGCTCCACTACTAGCTAGTTGCTGAGTCTGCTTAGGTGAGGCCCTGTCCCCTGTGGGCCTCACTCCCCCGAGCGTACTCAGGAGCAAAGGCTGGCTGCTCTTCAAGCCTGAAAGTGCTGGTAGGAGAGCATGGCTGGGGGAGGATTTGCCAGCGGCCAGGCTCACTCTCTGAGTGGCTGTCGTCTCTCTGTCCCAGGCAGCTCCTGGAGGAGACTGGACAGCCCAGTCCCCCAGACCTGGACCTGGCCATTCCCCTCCTCCCGCACTAGCTTTGGCTATGACCAGCTTCAGAGAAGGCCCTTTCCTAGGCTCTTGCAAGCCCCTCCTCACCTCTGTGCAGGAGCTCAGAGTTCGAGCTGCCCATGGGGCCCTCACTTCTGAGACCTGAGGACATGTCCAAAATTGTGGCAGGGAGCCCGGACAGGCCCACATTCCCTCCCACTGGCGCCCGGAGGAAGCCACCTGGGGACACTCGATTTGGTGTGACTCACCGGATGGAATCAAGGGTACTACACAGGGCAAAGTGGGCAGGGGGTGCTGGCTTGGCAGCCCGGGGATTCCAGAGCAGCTGAGATAGACAAGCAAGTGAGTTCTCTCCTCGGCCCGCCTACCCCCCTGCCACCTCGCCACCCTGCTGTTCACCAAAGGCTGAAGCTCTGTTTCTGAGGCCACTGGGCCAATGCTGGGTCCAGCAGCTGCTGCAGCTTCTGGGCAGTGTAACCCTTCCTGGGAGCCCAGGTTGCCCTGGAGCGGGGCTATGAGAGAGGAACGAGCAAGGGGGGGGGGGGCGTAGGGAGGGTGGTGAGTGGGGGAGCGTGTGCTAAAGCGCATGTGTGGGCATCATGGAGAGGGGAAGTCTTTTCTCTGAAGGAGGAAAAGACTAAAAAGAAGAAAAGAGGAAGCCACAAGTTCGGGCTGGGAGGAAAATAATTCCACCTTGTGGTTTTTTGTGGCCTTAGCTAAAATCACATCCAGCAAACTTTTGCTTGCTGCTTTTGAAAATGCTGTTTGAGGACCAAGAAGTGCTGCCCACTGTCTGCTTGGACAGCGGCGGCAGCAGCAGCAGCCTGGGACAAGCTGGCCTCACCCAGCGGGGGAACCGCAGTGGAAGAGGGGTGTTGTCATGGCTCAGAATGACTGGTGATCGGGGCCAACGGGGGCCTCTGGCTCTTGCCCTAAACTCTGCTCCCCACTTTGGGCCTGGTGAGCTGCCCCGGGACAGGGGAAGGCATGAGATGGGCAGAGGGAACGCCATTCTCCTCGCCACATGCCAGCTATTCGGGTCCGGGCAAGCTACTGCTAAGCGGACTGGGGTCGGGGCAGGCTGTGTCCTGGAGGCCCAGGAAACTCAGCCTCGGCACATAAGGACCTGGTTCCCTGGGACAGGGCAGCCCAGGGCAGGGCGGGGCTCTGTGACCAGCCACCCGCAGGGCTGGTCCCGGTGCCTCCGAAGGATTGGGCGCCTGCTGCCCCTACCCCGCGCTAGCACCCCCTGCCCGCAGAGGCAGCCGCTAGCACCCCCTGCCCGCAGAGGCAGCCGCTAGCACCCCCTGCCCGCAGAGGCAGCCGCTAGCACCCCCTGCCCGCAGAGGCAGCCGCTAGCACTCCATGCCCGCAGAGGCAGCCGGCTGATGCTGGGTCTTTGGATTGGGGCCACGGGGGCGCACGCGTGGGGTGGGGGTGGGGGTGGGGGCCTCACCCCAGAGCCGCAGTAGCGCCCCAGCCTGGGGGCCGTGCTGTCGTAGCCGTCAAAGAGCTCCATGTAGTCATAGCCGCAGTCCGTCTCCTCCTCCACCTCGAAGGTCTGGAACACGAGCTCCACGCCATAACCCTCCTCTGCCACGATGACCCACTCGCAGTCCACCCCCCCGGGGTAGTTGTTGTCACCAAACTGCGCGTGGGAGTAAAGGTCCTTGGTCTTCACCTCGGCCCGCACCTGGCCACCGCACTCTGGGGGATGACAAGAGAGGCCACGGCTCCCTGAGCTCGGCTGCCATCCAGGCGCTAAGCCCCACCATGACAACGAGCCCTCCCGGCCTCTGGGGGCCTTCGGGGAGGGCCACGGCGCTGGTGACAGGTGGGTTTGGACTGAGCCCAGGACTTGGCTCGGAACAAGTACTTTGCTGCTCTTCCACTGGCCAGATGCCCACGAGGCCCACAGACACAGCAGGGTGGGAGGCAGCGGCTCGCAGGCCCTGGGGACGGCACGCTTGTCAAAAGAGGACATGGCTAATTTGCTCCAGCTGATGGCTGTCATGGAAGAATGTGGGCCCAGCGTGGCCAGACCTTCCATTCTTTGGAGAGAAGATGTACATCTGGATTTTATGCAAACACCCCTGATTTTTTTAAAACGTTGGCTTAATTAAAAAACAAAAAAAACAGTGTGGGCCAAACATAGCAGCGTCTGAGAGCCAGGTGGAGTTTTGGGCCTGCAGTGTGTGACCCTGTGCTGGGAGGGGCAAAGCACAGCACAGGGTCTGTGCTGGCAGGATCGTCGGGGCCACCCTCTCCCCAGGCCCCGGCTCATTCTCCCTGGAGGGGCAAGGGTGGGAGAAGGCAGGGCAGGGCTTGTGTCAGGGACAGAGGGTGACCCTGGGAACTCCCCAGCAGGTGGCTGAACACCCACAAGGAACCTGTGAAGTCTCCATTTGACATCTGCGGTCTGGCACTCAAGGCCTCCCAGGACTGGGCCTTCTCTGCAGCCATGCTGTTTCTGTGTCACTGGAGACCTTACTCTACTGCTCCGCTAAGTAACTGGAGGTGGCCGGTATCTCCTGGCGCTGTCCTGGGGTCATGGCTCCGCGTGGACTCCTCCCCTCATACAGTGATCCCCTTATCATGTTTTGTTTTCTGTGTGATAATCTGTGCTGGTCTTATCTCTCTCCTGGACTGTGCATTCCTCGGGTGGGTGGGGCAGGCAGGCTCAGGCCAGTTTGGGTGCTGTGTGTGGCCTCCAAATCTTCTTCCATAGGCCAGAACTCAGAAACAATGTTGAATAAAAGGACACAGTGACACAGTAGGCCCCTCCAGGGTTGAGGTGTCTACTTCATTCTTTTTTTTTGGTTCCAGCACTTAGATGGTTGCTTCAGATATGGAACACATTACTACATATGTGTGGGAGGAGTGAACAAGCAAATGAGGGTTCAAAACGCAGGTGGAATGCTGCAGTGACACTTCTCACCCCTGGGGATCTGGCGGATTCCCTCCCTATCCCGGGGTTCCCTCCACTGCCCTGTACTTTCTGACTTCAAGGTTCCTCCTTCACCCTTCAGTTTTTACTTTCGTGCAGGGCCTGGCCCTCAGCATCCGCTGTGTCTCCACCCAGACCCCAGGCGGTCGACGGCTCCCGTGCCTCTCTGTGAACCCCCCACCTGCAGCTTAGCAGTTTCCCCCAGAACGAGTGACAGCCGCCCAGGCACTGGCCTGAGGCGCCCTTACCTGTGGAGTGGGCCGCCTGGAAACCCTTCCTCTGGACAGAATTGTCGGAGTAGAAGCGCAGGAACATTCGGTTGCCTGTGGCCAGGACGGGCTCGGGCTTCTTGCTCCCACAGAAGCGACCCAGGACGGGAGCCTTGATGTCACGGCCATCGTACACCTCTAGGTGGTCATAGGCACACTCAGGCTGGGACTCGATGTCCATCTCCATGAAGGTCTGAGGACAGAGCCCAAGGGAGGACAGAGTTAGGACTGTGCAGGGAGCAGGTGAGGTGGGCAGCAGGTGGCCCCAAACCCAGGCCTCAGGCAAGCCGGGGCTGGTAGTGCGGGTGGGTGGTCCCCTGCTGACAGAGGACCAAGGAGCTGGCGATGGCAGTATACCCCTGTATATACTGGGGCACAGTCTGTCCAGATGAGGGCTTGGGTTCTCACAGGGCGGAAGCCCTGTGGGCTGAGCCCGCCCACCCAGCCTACATTCGGCATGGCTTCGGGCAGTGGCAACAGCAGGACACAGGTGACAGCCAGATGGCACGGATGAGGAGCTGGGGTGCCCGTCCAGGCTGGGGAGTGGCACCTTACCAGCTTGACCCGGTGCCCAGGAGTGCTAGAGATAGCCCAGGTGCACTCCTTCTTGCTGGGGTATTTGTCGGGCCAGTTGGGGCTGGTGATGGTGCCGCTGGTGGAAGTCACCTTGTGGTCACAGCCGGCTGTGCAGAAGTGAGTGAGGGCAGGAGGTCAGCAGGGCCCCCAGGCCCCTGTGCAGAAATCACTTCCCTGCTGCCCGCTCCATTCTCTTGTCCCCCACTGAGAAACTGGAAGAAAGTTCGCATGACTTTTCTATTCCCCACACCTGGGGAAATCTAGCTGCCACCTGGCAGCACCCGTGACAAGGCCATGACAAGGCCATCATGGGCTCCCTGTGCAGACCCCTGGCCTCTGCGGCCATCTGGCCACACACCCCCCCCACCCTCTGCAGAGCTGTCATTCTCCGATCTCCTGCCATGTCCCACATTCACAGAAGATTTTCGCTCCTGACTCAATTCTCTCTGTTCTTTTCCTGTGGCATCCTAAGTATGTCAAAAACACACAATGGTCCCCCAGCACGCAGGCCTTTCCAGCCCTTGGCCTCCTCAGCTTTGTTGATTCTCCTCTCCCTTCTCCACACACACTCGTTAGTACCTCCCCCTAGGCTTTGCCATCACCCACCATTTTTTGATGCTACAAATGTACTTTCTCCAGGGCTCCCTCCCTTCCTTCCAGGGTGCTCAGGCCTGTCCTTCCCTTCAAGGGCATGGCGACCTTCACAGTCTCCATCCTTTCATCTCACCCAATGTTTTCACCTTGGTGGACTTTCCCTGCCTCCCTATTCAGCTGGAGCACACGGAGGACCACCCTGACACCCAACTACTCATCAACAAGTCGTACACCTGTGATGCCAACTTGGAAACTCCATCCACAGTCTCCAGCCGGGCAGGCCCCAAGCCACTTGACATTCATTCTTCTCCAGCTCCCTCTCTCACCTCTTCAGCAGCAGCTCTAAACCTTCAGCTCTCCCCCCAAGTCCCAGCCACCACTCTCTCCCACCTCACTTCTCCCCTCCCCACTCGTCCCCCAGATAAAACCAGATCCCTCAAATATGAACAACTTCCACTTCCTGACCCCAGCTTCAAACTGGCCTTCCGACCACCACCTCCCCGCTTTTCTATCCTGGAGAAGGTACTTGTCCTTGCTGGTAGAAATGAATTTTCTTTTGGTGAGCTGGAGCTCTTTGCTGCTCATAACCTGGGCACCCCAGTACCACACCCCATCTTCCTCATTCCCTGTCAGCTCTGCCGGCCTACAAATCTTCCTAAGGCAGTTCTCCCATGGCCCTACTTTCCTCTCGAGCTCCCATCCTCCTCTCCCTGCTAACCTTCAAGGAAGCTTGCTAGCCTGGGTGTTCAGTACTGATGGCTCCTCGATTCACTGCCATCTGCCTCTGCCTCTGGAAAGTCTGGCCTCACACACTCAGATGTGAAAGCCTGGCCTCATTATTCACTACCTCCCAGCCTGGCAAGTCCCACTGAGCCTGAGAAGGCAGGGCAATGCTGGGCTGAGAGGAGAAAGGGGCGTGGGCGCAGGAGCCCGCTGTGCCAGTGTCAGGGACTCATAGCACACCCAGACAGCCACAGTGGGGGGCAGGGGAGGAGCCGTCCACAGCAGCCCAGGGGCCATGGCTGTCCACATCTGGCCGTGCGCTGTTTCCATCACTCATCTAGATTCCCGTGTGCATGCTCACCGACGTCCCCCTCCCCCCCCCCGATTGCTGTGGGGTCTTCCATGTCCCAATTTTCCTTGCACACCCCTTTTGGCACCCCCATGACTGCAAACTCTTTGGGGGAAGAAAGACTCCTCTCTTGAGTTCCCTGCAGAACTGCACAGCGCTGGACCCGCTGCTGGCATCAGAAAATGCAAGCTAATGTGTGACCAGCCTAACACTTGAGTTAGGAGCCATAAGTGCTCCCAGAGTGAATCAGAGCTCCAGGCAGGTCATCTCCCCAAGGACTTTAAACCCTCTTCTGACTATCTTGTTGAGCTGATGCTGAGGGTTCTTAAGTAAAAACCTCTCTTTCAAAGAGACTAGAGAGAGAATGCAGGTCAGATAACACTGAATGTTATCGAAAGAGGCTAGAGGCAGGAAGTCCGCCTTTGGGGGCTCTGAAGAGAGGGGCTGGGAACCCTGCTGGGTCACTGCCAAAGGCTTCACCCCATTTATTCTGGTCAGCAGTTTACGCATGCACGCTATGGCTGTTACCTAGGAAGACAAGAAGAGGCCTTTGCCGGGCAATGTGCCAGTGGCTCAGAGCAAAGCCCGTGAAGCAGGCACATTTTACATCACTTCATGGCAGAGGAATGGGCAGAGCGAAGTGACAGAAACAGACAGAGGTGAGGCGACTCGCCCGAGTCATACAGAGAAGCCTGCAGCCTGCGGCTGGAACTACGTGTCCCGAGCAGGCAGCGGTCACGATGGAATGAGTGACTTGGGGCAGGCCGGTGTGCTCGTGTCCTGGGAGGGTCGATGACATCAGTGATGACACAAGAGCTGTTCTCAATACCCGCGTCAATGTCAGGGAGGCAGCGGCCCTGCCCTGGGTGTCCCCGGGGATGGGAAGGGTGTCCAGTGAGGTGACGGAGCCGCTGCCCCTTGGAGGCGGGGGGGACGACACTTGCTAACGGTTACCGGGAGCAAATGGAGGCACAGAGAAGAGGCCAGCTGCTTCAGGGCACACGCCAGCCACGCGGCAGGGCAGGGCCGGCCACTGGCTCCCGTCCACCTGGTCACACTGGTCCTACCCCACTCTCTGCCAGAGGAGGTCTTTGTAAACAGGAAGACTTGGACATGGAAGCACTGACCACTGGAACAGCCTGAAAGTGGAGCCCAGGGCAGCTGGGAGCACCTCCTCTCCTGGAGCCCAGGGCATCCGGGAGCACCTCCTCTCCTGGAGCCCAGGGCA